TCAAATCTGCGACCTTTTGTTGCGCCCCAGTATGGTTAAGGCATGCCTTCTCCCGGCATTGTTTCGACTCAATTCTCCAGCAAAGATCCCAGAACGCATGCCATGTTTTTGGACTGGTCGGGCCGGGCCCCACCCTATATCGAACTGGTCAGGGATAAGAGCTGCTCATTAGGCAAGCAACCAAAAAAAAACCGAGATAGACCCCATTTGCCCAGCCCCCTCCGTAAGACCTGGCAACTCTCTCAGCCTTGAGATTCCTGCGAGGAACCTCGGATCCTGCAATCCACGGACTCTGAAGCCCATTCCCTCGGGTCCATACGGCCCAAAAGCAGTGCCACCCCCCACACGGACGTTGATAGCTCTTGAGAGCATGTGAGGACACCGAAATCAAGGGTGCCATAGACAAAGAACAACACAGAAGGCAAACTGAACCAATAGCGATTGACCGGCTCCAAATGCTGAAAAGAATCAGGAAGGCGGCTCCCTAAGCGATTCTTCATGAGTGCGCCCGTCTTATCCTGAGAGCTTGCTATAGTTTGAGGGTGATTGGTGATGAGTTCGCTCGTGAATCAAGGCATTGGTTCAACGGCACCTTGCAACTCTTGGATCGACGCTGGCGCAGAGCGTTCAAACGCCTGGAACACTTGCAAAGGCAAAACCAGCCGTTTGATGCCATGCAATGCTTTTCTTCGAAGCCAGCCCAGTGACCGGGGTAGGAAGAAACAAACCCTTTTCTGGGCAGCCAATTGTGACCGGGAGACCTACTCGACACACCAACAAAAAAACGGTGCCTTCCTCTTCCAACTGGGGAATCCAGCGTCATCAGCCTGGCTGTGTAAAACAAAACATCGGCCAGTCCTTTGGGACGAGGTACCGGCTCAACGGCTTCACCTGGACATGCTTCCGCGCCGTACAAACAAATACGACTGGGCTTGTCGTTGGGCCCTAGGAGGCCCCCTCCTTGCACCTCCCCCACAAGGACTCATCATCGAGTCACCCCAGCAGCCAACCAATGCAAATAGCTACTGAACCAGAGCAGAGTCACAAGTGTCGCACATTTCGCGTGTAACAGTGTGACCACCTTTACGAGTTGGCACATGTTGCCACAAGAAATAGTGCTCGTGCATTCATGGGTCGATTCAAAGAGGCTGTGATTTGAAGGGAAACCACCCAAACAAAACTTGAAGAAAGCAACATGCTCACAATAAAAGCAACCCAGTATTCATTGACACTTCTTGCTATAATAAATGCTGTTAGTGCGTGCATATGCCGCTGGCTCCCCAATTAAAGCATCCAACCCGAGTGTACCCCAGCGGCTTGGACTCCATGTTGACAACGCGAGCGCGCGAAAGCCGACGCAACTTCTGCTCCAAGCTCTTGAGGCAGCGGCTCTTCTTCACCCACCGCGCCTAGAAAACTGTTCCAGCGAACAGCAAGCTCTAGGGGAACTCAGCATGAAAAGCACCTCGACAAATCCGCAAATTGGCCGACCAGTATGTAGAAAGCCCCTACGGCTAAAAGCAGACATTGCACACACGCAAAGACAGGTACAAAGGCACAATACAACCCCGCGCATAAAGATTCATACATCGGCAACTCTGCATCACCACACACTAGGTGTCTGTGACTCTTACCGACCGATGCTTTCTTAAGCACACTGCATGCCTATCTCAACTTTTGCCCCGAACTAAGAGCAACATTCCGGATTCCGGGGCCCAAAGGCTACAACGCATATCAGTCTTGCAGGACGTACTGGAGGATACGTAGTGAACCTGCAAATAAATAACCCCCCGCCAACACAAACAAATAGAGGTCAGTTTTCCTTTGGCTTGCTTCGAAACCAACCAAAACAAGGCAACCTCAACCAAACAAGGCAACCTCCACCCAAAGGCACCAGGGTTCACTATATGTCCCCTTTCAACATCACCCTACCCAAAGGGTAATATTTAAAGCCGCCAACAGGGGAAATATAGAGAACCCTGTGCGATGTCAAAAAAGGCCCAACCGCCGCGGCTCTGGGGCTCCCTGCTGGTGGGTCACCTAGCAGATCTTGGAAGGTCCGAGTACTCTCAAGGAAACCGATAGTTGCCAGGTTGGAATTAGGACCCCAGCAAAACAAATCTTGTTTGCCTGTTTACTGGAAAACAAAGGGAACCCAAAAAAGCAAAAACAAAAAAAGGAGCTAATTCTGGGGAAGGTTGAAATTCTGCGTCGGACCTTAAGGATCGAGCTGTAAGCCTTGATTGCAAGGGGAGGTCAGAGCGAAAAACATGCCATGCCAAACGACTCCAGTCGATGACACGTGGAATTCCAACACAAATCCAAGGAAAGTCCAAGGCGTTCCATTTGGTTGGACAGCCTACCCAACCAATTGACGGGAGATGGGTTGAGGCAGCTCCGAGCCCAGCCGCAATGAGCCAGGCTTGCCAGCAGCTTCCCAGCTCCACCAGGGCTCACTCCTCCCAAGCAG